CTACCCATTTGCTATATTTTCTCGTTTGTTTTACTAATTTTTGACCAATTAATAAGCATGTTTTGTTTTAGAAATTGATATTCAAATTCCCCGCCATATTTTCATAATTTGGTGCATGCGCAGACGTTTTTCCGCGGTGTTACTTCTGGGTGTATTCGCGTATCAAAATGAAAAGTTCGTCGCAAGTCAACTTTTTCGTAAAGTACTGATTAACCAATCAATATTCACTATTATATATTACTCTAAAGATGCATTACATTATATATGAATAACCCAAACATTATGCGCTTGCCAAAAAATCATATTTTAGGTTATTGGCAAGATCACATATTTCTAGTCTCTTTACTGGGAAAAGAGTTATTTAAGATTTTTACGCGAGCGACCCTGACAGGGCATTTTTTAACTATATAACTACTGGGGCCCCAGTAGGCCCTTTGCTTGCCCCACTAGTAGTGAAGCAATATTTTCAGATGACTGAGCTGGTCCCTTTTGATCATTAGTAAAAAGTCATCCTTGACCTTGTTGAAAAAGCTTCATCTACCTGGTTTCTCATATCCTCTCACATTCCATGTTATAAAAGTCAGCATAGCATGGTCTTTATGTACGCGTAACTGTGTGAGGAAAAGGCCCTCATTGAGGCTTAGCCCCAGTAGTTGTAATTTCTTAAAAAATGCCCTGGTAGTCCATCTTTATAATATTGGTCCATACTACATATGAGATCAGGGAGTGGTTACCGACCGCTCACGAACCAATCAAAATGCTGCATTTTCCAAATGGACCGCCTAGCCATGTTATGTTTTAGCAAATCAGCAATGTGACACCATATTTAAAGTGCCAAGTTTTTTTTATATGAAATAACTCACTAGAACGTTGTTTACATGTATAAAAAACGCTTTTTATAGCACTTAATATAAGTGAACCTAAAAACTACTCTGCCTCTGTGCCCTCTGTTCTTGAAATATTTAGACCGAAATTAATGAGCTGTCCGCCATCTTGGTCCTTGGACTAATTCTTCACCTCATTTTAACTATGGTTTTAATGACGTCAGGAGTTGGGTTAATCATGTAAAAAGATCGAGTAACATGACAGCAACCAGATACGACGTTTTGGACCCATATTGATCGCTTACTCTCAAGATAAAAAATAGCGTGACCCCTCTCTTGACGTTACATGCATACCCTCGATAATCCAAGGACCAAGATGGCGAACAGCTCACTTTTTTCAGTCGAAATATTTTGAAAACTGTCTAAGGAAGATATAAAAAATCTGTAATAGAGTTTAATATATAGTTTTAAGAGTTGCTTCGAATGAACTAAACTAATTTTTTATTGCCAATGTGACTATAGAGAATGAAATGTCCTCAGTAACAATACGTGCTGCCAATTCTCATCCGCATTTGACCGGGGCTTTATAGCATTTTAGATGAACAAATAAACATTTATACGCTGTACACGTCATCTGCCGAAAATATTCCTCATTAACTATAATAACAGTTGGCGAAAACCTGAACTGGGCGATAAATAATAAATATATCGTGTTATCATATTGTATTCAAACGTGCAAATTCAGCTTGTGTTTATTCCGTGACTAATAGTTCTCAAAATTAACTATAAATTCGCCCCCAAAAGGCAAGACCTTGTGTCCTTGACCTTTGAAAGAGTGCTTAATGTATTCACAATAAATAATGGAGACAATTTTCATTATAATAATCATTTTCAAAGAATTTGTTTAAACCATAAAGTGCCGTTGCCATTTTGCTTTTCAAAATACTCTAATGGTATAAAGGATAACAAAAATGCTTTTAAAAATACTCAAATAACTGAACATGTATACAAGAGCGGAAACTGTCTGATTTCAGAATCATACAAATATGTCTGCTTGTTAACAATGCTATCAAATTCATAACATTGACATCATTGCGAAATACATAAAATTATGCCTCAAAAACATTGTGTATGTTTTAACCTACCTTAACCACAAACTCACTGACGCATTGTTTCAAAAACAGACCAAAAAATCTCTTCTTTTACCAACGATTTTATCGATTTCAAGCAAACACAAAATCGCGTGCAAAGTTCAGAATATTTTAACATGTGCATAAAAGGTTCTTAATCACAGTGTGTGCATATTAAACGTTGCGCAATAAGTCAATAGACCATAAAAATATCGAGATTGTGAAATAGGATTATAAAATGATGAATTAACGTGACAGAACCATAACCTTACTATATTTGCTTGTATTTTCAACCAATTTTCACGTTGAATAACAAGGATTCGTATTATATTTAAGACGAATGGTTAACAGTTGAGACCTTTAAATTGTTTAAGCTAATATATTACGTAATTGCATATTGACTTATTGTTATTTGACACTGTTTGTACGGCTGTGTTAACTATACACGAGATACTCGACAAGGCTTTGTCCTTTGATAAATGTTATTTTGAAACAAAGACAGGGCAAATGTTCGCAGTTTTAAAGGTTGTTAGGTAGCATTTTGAATGTATTACTATTAATATTCATATACAGCTACGAAATTGGCTGTGCCTAATTTGATTAAGGTATTCAATTTTAAACGGACTTTTGCTATATTCAGTCTGCTCAGTGAGACATTAAAAATATTCAAATTAGCTAAACCCAAGGTCAAAGTCGTTGAGAGTTAATTTTAAAATTCGTCAGGTATCAAAGCGAACAAACGCTAGAGCTTTCTGCCTAGCAACTCCATTAAGAACTAAGAACTTTCAGTCATTTTGCCCGATGGATAAACTCATAAACGGTATGCTTGCATGGCAAGAAAAATTGTCAATTTTTACGCACGAGCAAATAAAATTAACTTGTCAAGGAAAAATTACCTGTACGGGGGCCTTAAATGGTTCAACACTTCTGAACAGAATCTACTTTATTACGTTATGTTCAGTCGTACTATACGGCGTTTGCACTCATTTCCCACTGGCAGGGAGCGACGCAACGAAAGGCCAGGGCGGCCATGTTGCATGTGTTCCAGACAAAAGAGTCTCAATTAAAATTCTTTTGAATTGGAATACCAACATGGGGGCTGTGACGTCATGTACAAACGCTCTATACTGGTGACAAACTTGTGACAAACCTGGGGTTATGTTCTGGAAACTAGAACTGCCATTGCTTTTTTCTTCGTCGTTGAAACATTTCTTATAAACCTGTCTTGGCCGATCGCTCCAATTTAGGACTGTCGAGTCTGCTCTACTTCCACGAGGCACGATGGCCCCGATGTCCCAAACGTCTATGACGATTTCCTCCTCGTCCAGCAAATAACTCTATTCCATTCTCCGATCAGCAACGTTGACACAATTGCCCGTGATGAAAACCATTGTTTGGGTAGGCCAATGTGACTTGGGCAACTCACTGGAAACCTGACCAAACTAAATGAGACCATCTTTATGTGCCAGTCTTGTGCTACCATCTGGTGAAACGGCCTGGAATTCACGTGAAAATCACGTGAAATTCACCTGGATTTGAGCCGTTATACCGTGTAGAAATCTCAAAGCTTTTCAGCGAGATGTGTTCGCACTGCTTGTTCCAAGTTGTTGTCAAGATTCAAGCTGTTAAGATTCAATTTTTATTTTTTGTCAAGCCTGGAACAAGCTGTCATCATCTGGTAACAAGGTTGATGAGGCCAACAGACTCGCAACCGAAGTTGTCCCAACAAGTCTGATATCTTCTGCACATAAGTAGCTGTTAGGGTAGCGAAACATGTCCTGAAACTAAAGATATACTGTATGAACAACCATTTGGAAAACAAAGCAAGTTCAATCTACTCTAAATAAACCACATGATATACTTACCAAGTTAATAGTTCACCTTTCCAATTTCTTAGACCTTGGGCTTCCATTGGTATAATCATTTTCAGAAACCAAATGTCGATCGCGGTCTCTCGCAAATAGCTGGTCTCGTGGGAAACCGTCCAGTTTTCGACCGGTATGGACATCGTGATCAAGGCAAAAAAATCCATGATCAAAAATTTGATGAAAATTTCTCAATATTTTGACTGATTCGAAATGTTTAGTCGTCATACTTTCTTCTTCTGAAATTAATTTCAACCGAGGTAATCATTGCTCCCTTATAGAATATTTCAAGGAAGGTATATTTCACAATCGTTTATGTTGAATATATTTGAACACTGCTGCCATTGTCAGAATAGTATTTAAGTTGACAAATCGCGAGCATATCCCGTGCGCTTAAATTTGGATTTGAAATTGTGCTCTCCACAAAGCGTCAGCGCGATTCGCTGATTATGCGAGTTCAAATCTCGCTTGAACGCAATGTTTGGTTTTTCTCATGAATATATTGCAATCCAAGTTCAACAACACTGTGAACTAGACATTTGTTAAATATCCATTATTTTGAATAAAAATTACCTAAACTATAGCACTATACAAATTAATTTTTTCCTCGAAAATTTGAAATAAGTTGTGCATAGAATTTCGATACACAACGTTAAAAATGTTCCTATAAAAATTCAAGACAAAAATTTTAGCCCGATTTTTTCATGTCTCTGGACTTAAATTCTTCTATATTATATATAGTTTTATCCAGGCGTATGGCTGACCCGCGAACAGGCGATTGCACAAATAGGAGGCCTCTTTCATAAAGCAAGTGATGTTTTTGACAAGTCGTATCATGGCGTTGAGTGATGACGGATTTTAAATGGCTACAATTTCTGTCCCAGTAAAACAATGAGTTGCGCTATCCAGTCTATGTTCAAATCAGTGGTTCAACCTACACAATCGGGCTCCAACAGAACACCTGATCGCAGGCTAATGTTATGGGTAGCTCAAACCTGATTATGTTGTTGCCTTGGCGACCAGCGCTGATGGCGTTTGTTCCAAAGGTTCGTCGTCGTTCACTATGGTCAGCGGCATCCTCCAGAAAGTGAATGTGCTAAATTCGTCCGAGGCGACTAGACTGGTGGTTCCCAGATATGGGGGAAACATTTGGTCGACAAAATCTTGCATTTCAGTGTAGCTATAGAACAGAATATATACCATGAATTTTTTCTGTGTTGGTGTAATGTACTCAGGTAAATATGATGCTTGTGATGTTACTCTGAGTGTATATCCACACCGGGCAAGCTTGAAAATCAGCCTGGCCATAAGTTAAAACATGGTTGGAACATTCATCAAACCTTTATTTTGTTAATCTAGAGCTTGAAATGCCCCCCGTTACAATGCGTGACTGCAAACTCTCATCAACTTTCACGCTTTAGTTTGAATAATGTCATGTTGAAATTCAAAATACGAATTGAAACAAGACGAGCTTTTTGAACTTGTGAAGTCCTGCAATCGTTATTATACATAATTCCTATTTGAGGAGTAACTTTGCAGCTCTGATAATGAAAGTCGTCTATAAAAATCAGATGGTAGATTAGCCATTTAATGTAAAGATAAGTTATTAAGACTTACGAAGATTGGAATGCATTTGTAAATTCGTTTGTTACTTCACCCTAAAAAAGATACCCAACCAAATTAAAACATCACAGTTTAAAATCCAACAATTGATGTTTTATCACGCGATTAATTTGAATTAAAGTTTGAATAATTCTATATAGGAACCTTACTTTATGATTTATTGTAAAAATTCTTTGCACAGTTATGCCGACGGCACGGTATGACAAAACATCCTGCAAATGATAAAAAAAATATTTCTATAAAACTTTGAAGTCATTGCACAAAAATGACTTCAAATTAACATACAAATTAACTTACGTTCGTTCTGTTTCCAAAGCCAGCGAAGAAAGGATCGTTTTTTGATGGAAACAATTTGCGGATGTTTCTCAAACATGGAATCTTGAAATCTTCCGGTTTTTTCTCAATCACTTCTCTAGGATGAAAAGCAAATAAAAATATCAGCACTGCCTGAAGATCTTAATACCAACACGTAAAAACTCGCAAGTTGTCACAGATCTGCAAACAAGTTGCAACAAGATTGTTGTAAAGCCAATATCAGGATGTGTTCGCACTGCTTGTTCCCAGTTGTTGTGACAAGTCTGGAACAAGTTGTTATCACTTTGTTACAAGGCTGATGACGGTAACAGACTTGCTACAAGTTGTTCCAACAAGATTAAAGTGTATATGACATGGAATTTCTTATTTTCTTAAATGAAAGAACTCCTTAAGCTGTAGTGTAACATACTTTTCAGTTTCTTGTTTTTATGGTTTGTTCCCGAGATATTTCAATTTGTTTGATATGTAAATGAGTGTGAATATGTCCGCTAATTTATGACGTCATGTTGGTTGCAAGCTCTTCAAAACGGTTGAATATCACTGCTATCATCCAAGATGATAATTTCAAACTTCACTCACCGGTAAATGTGATGAAACACTGTAGAAAAACGCGAACAGGTATCTACAGTTTTTGGAGTTAATAGATTTATAGCCAGTGTAAGTTGAGCTTGCAACCAACATGACGTCATAAATTAGCGGACATATTCACACTAATTTACATATCAAACAAATTGAAATATCTCGGGAACAAACCATAAAAACAAGAAACTGAAAAATAAGTTACACTACAGCTTTAAAGAGTTCTTTCGTTTAAGAAAATAAGAAATTTCATGTCATATGCACTTTAATAGAGGGTGGTCATAACAAGTTGCTAGCTACGAGCTTGTTGTCATCAACTTGTTAACAACTTGTTACGTGCATACGATATCAAACTTGTTGGAACTATTTGTTGCGAGTCTGTTGACCTCGCCAATCTTGTTACAAGATGATAACTTGTTCCAGACTTGTCAAAAACTGGGAACAAGCAGTGCGAACACATCTTGTTGACAAGCTGTGAGGTTCTTACGCGTGTGAGGTTCTCGCACGCAAAAATATCACATCTTGTAACAAGTCTGCCAACAAGCCGTCAACAAGTTGTGTTCGCACTGCTTGTCCCAAGTTATCAACAAGTTTTGACCACGCTGTTAACAACTTCTAACAACCGTGCTGATATTATCAGACTTGTTGCAAGGTTGTTCCAACAAGTCCGATACAGTCACGATATAACAATATTGTTACAATCTTGTGTCGTCAACCTTGTAACATTCCTGTTATATCAGGACTGCATCAGACTTGCAAAGTCTGATAATGCCATCAAGCTTGTTGCAAGTTGTTAACAGCTTGTTCCAAACTTGTTACAAAGACTATATCAGACTTGTTAGAACAACCTCGTAACAAGTCTGATAATGCCATTAAGCTTGTTACAAGTTCTTAACAGCTCGTTCCACACTTGTTACAAGGACTGTATCAGACTTGTTAGAACAACCTTGCAAAATGTCCGATAATGTCATCAAGCTTGTTACAAGTTGTTAACAGTTTCTTCCAAACTTGTCACAAAGACTGTATCAGACTTGTTACAACAACCTTGTAACAAGTCTGATAATGCCATCAAGCTTGTTACAAGGACTGTATCAGACTTGTTAGAACAACCTTGTAACAAGTTTGATAATGTCATAAAGCTTGTTACAAGTTGTTAACAGCTTATTCCAAACTTGTTACAAGGACTGTATCAGACTTGTTAGAACAACCTTGTAACAAGTCTGATAATGCCATCAAGCTTGTTACAAGTTGACAATAACAATATTGCTACAACCTTGTGTGGTCAACCTTGTAACATTCTTGTTATATCATGACTGCATCAGACTTGTTAGAACAACCTTGTAACAAGTCTGATAATGCCACCAAGCTTGTTACAAGTTGACAATAACAATACTGCTACAACCTTGTGTGGTCAACCTTGTAACAGTCTTGTTATATCACGACTGCATCAGATTTGTTAGAACAACCTTGTAACAAGTCTGATAATGCCATCAAGCTTGTTCCAAACTTGGTACAAATACTGCATCAGATTTGTTAGAACAACCTTGTAACAAGTCTGATAATTCCATCAAGCTTGTTACAAGTTGTTAACAGCTCGTGGTTACAAGGACAAAATCAGACTTGTTGAACAACCTTGTAACAAGTCTGATAATGTCATCAAGCTTGTTACAAGGGCTGTATCAGACTTGTTAGAACAACATTGTAACAAGTCTGATAATGTCATCAAGTTTGTTACAAGTTGTTAACAGCTTGTTCCAAACTTGTTACAAGGATTGTATCAGACTTGTTACAACAACCTTGTAACAAGTCTGATAATGCCATCAAGCTTGTTGCAAGTTGTTAACAGCTTGTTTCAAACTTGTTACAAGGACTGTATCAGACTTGTTAAAACCTTGTAACAAGTCTGATACTGCCATCAATGTTGTTACAAGTTGTTAACAGCTTGTTCCAAACTTGTTACAAAGACTGTATTAGACTTGTTAGAACAACCTTGTAACAAGTCTGATAATGCCATCAAGCTTGTTACAAGGACTGTATCAGACTTGTTAGAACAACCTTGAAACAAGTCTGATAATGCCATCAAGCTTGTTGCAAGTTGTTAACAGCTTGTTCCAAACTTGTTACAAGGACTGTATCAGACTTGTTAGAACAACCTTGTAACAAGTCTGATAATGTCATCAAGCTTGTTACAAGTTGTTAACAGCTTGTTTCAAACTTGTTACAAAGACTGTATTAGACTTGTTAGAACAACCTTGTAACAAGCCTTATAATGCCATCAAGCTTGTTACAAAAACTGTATCAGACTTGTTAGAACAACCTTGTAACAAGTCTGATGCCATCAAGCTTGTTACAAGTTGTTAACAGCTTGTTCCAAACTTGTTACAAAGACTGTATCAGACTTGTTAGATCAACCTTGTAACAAGTCTGATAGTGGCATCAAGCTTGTTACAAGTTGTTAACAACTTGTTCCAAATTTGTTACAACAACTAGGAACAAGCAGTGCGAACACAACTTGTCGACAACTTGTGAACAGATTTGTAACAACTTGTTTGCAGACCTGTAACAACTTGTGCGTTTTTATGTGCGTAGAAAAATTCCCTTAGCTCTTTCAAAGCTTCGTGATTCACATACATGAACCTGCCCGCCTCTTATATTCAGAACGATATTGACACACCTGTGAAAAGCCTTGATAAGTGAACTCGGAGATAAAAACAAAGGACCATCGGGCAATCCTAAATTCTCTTGCACGACATTTCGTAAATGCTGTCTTGTTAATTCAGCCTAGGTGGAGAAAAAAAATGCTGAATGATTCTGAACGATTCGAAATGAACGACTAACATGAAATAACTAACCTGTCCAATAGGTCGCGCTGATAAATACATAAATTTGTAACCATTCTTTTGTATTGAACTAAATAATTTGGCCTGAAGGAAAACATACAAATTATCACAACATAGCAACGCGTAAAATGTGAATTGTTTTTAAAGTGCTTATGAAACGAAATTTTTACCTCATTTTTTATTGTCTTATTAAAAGGTACTGCTTAAATGATGAAGAATGACGTTTACAGTTTGTTCGTATCTCATCTCATTCCCAAGTTATCGCACTTTCTATATTTTGAGTTGTGACGTCACTAGTTTGACTCAAAATAGTGGCAATAACAAGAAAATCTGATATCTTGACGATCATTTAATAAAATTCAATGAAACTCGGCACACTTAGTGGGTGCAACGAAGTGAACAATTTGGCTTGTTTATATGGTTGTTATGGCAACACACTCGTCCCCAGTCCCTTCTCTTCCAATTTCTGTATGATCAATTTCCAACGAAATAAATAGTAATTTCTGCAATTGTCGCTTATTACTATAATACGTGTAGGCATTGTGATCAGTTTCAACTGTTATAACACGCAAACATCCTCTGCAAGAGGTCTACAGGAGGAAATTTGTGAAAAGGAAGAGAAGAGACTGGGGACTAGTGTGTTGCCATAACCATGTGACCTACCAAAAATATTCATATTGGCGCACCCACTAACTGTACCGAGTTTCATTGAATTTTATTAAATACTCACTAAGATATCAGACTTTCTTGTTATTGCCATTATCTCAAGTCAAACTAGTGACGTCACAACTCAAAATTTAGAAAGTGCGATAACTTGAGAATGAGATGAGATATGAAGAAACTGGAAACGGCATTCCTCATCGCTCTAGCAGTACTTTTTAGCAAAACAATAAAAAATGAGGTGAAAATTTCGTTTCATAAGCACTTTAATAAATTACATTTCGCTGCAATAAGAAAAACATTGAAAATGTAATATTCAAATTCAATTTTCTCACGAAAAATTTTACGGTAATTACTGATTTTCAAATGAGTTGTTGTGCTCCTGCGGGTTTTAACCAATTTTTCTCAAATTTTCACAGGACATAGCTAAATACGTCAGTTTCAAAATTGTGTTCGGCTTTTGTGTTCGGCTTAAAAATAAAGAGCAATTCACTCAAACAATTCAGAAATATATTGCAGTCGTCAAAGAAATCGCCATATCAGCGGAATGACGAAATAAACAAAAATTTCCGAACACAGTTTTTTAGAACAACTATTTTACTGTATAAAAATGATATTTTCATAAATATATCTTAAAACCAGCAGGAACATAACTCAAAAGCGTAAAGGTACCGCGACTTAATATTTTCCTGAATAATTCTTACATTATTTTATTGTTTGTCAATTTTACAACTTTATCATATTTTGATGCACTGGCTAACATTTGGTGAAAATTTGATGAAAATCGGACTGATTTTGAGCGCGCAGTAGCGATTTTCCACAAAACGCCAAAAAGGGTGTCCTGTAACCTTAACAGGATGCATGGGCAGAAAGCTGACTCGTCCCGAATCGCTCATCCCGCGTTGGATGATGGGATTTGCATTATCCTATTTTTTTCCGAAGCAAATGTGTGGAAGAGTGCCAGCACGTTCAACTTGACAAGTGAAATCGTCTGGCGTTAGAGTAAAATACTCTGGCGTTAGACAGAGTAAAATACTAAAGTATAGGGGGCGCATTGCCACTTAAAGGGTTAAGTCTATAAGAACTTGAAAACCGGCACATACCACTCCCGATTGAGCCCAAAAACTAGCAGGTAAAATCTGTCCTAAAACATCTGACCTGAAAATAGAAGGAATCGATCAAACTATAAAAAGCTGAGCGATAGGAACACTGTGTTTGAAAAAAGTCTTCACACGGATAGGGCACAGGGGCGAAGCTAGTAGTCATAGCAACAGGTCATGCCATGCAAATTCTTGAGGATGAGTGAGCTATTCTAACCCTCGCAAATTTTGCCCAAAACTGAAAAAGAATGAGTGTAAGCACAAAATAAAGCAATAACAGACACAAAAAACATGTACAGATGTCTGGATGGGCAAGATTACGTCAGGATTGAGATGGATTGTAAATGGCATCTTGATTAATTGTTGGCAGACACTTTTTCAAGTTTTAGTCATTTTTTATGAAAATGTCATGTTACATGTTGCGTGGAAGTTCAAAGTTGTTTAATATGACTCATATATCATAACTTAATCCATTTACAATGTTTATTTTTAACTTTGTAGTTCAGTTTTTGATTAAAAGGCATTTTAGGTCAAAAATCGTTGACATTGCCCCTTTAATCTATTTAGATGCATCTTTATTAGCACAGTATGACCAGTTGCCATGGCAGCTTCGGCAATGATAGGGAATGGCCCAGTATTGCCCCCCCCCC